TTTTTTAGGGACTTGCCTGGGTATGTCCTTGATGGAAAGTACTGGGGAATCCAGAGTCAGGAGTCATGCCCAATCAGTCATCCCCTGACTACCTGGGTAGGAAGGCCCTGGACCACTCTTGTAAGCTTTTCTATTTAACTTAATGTACATGTCTCCATCAAGGTCCTGTTCTGGTTTCTGTAGTCCCACCTATAACTGTGATACATTGATCTGTCACCAGTCATGAATTTGTGACAGTTTTCTTGTATTTCCTCATTTAACTAGTGTCCTGACTATAAATCTTTGGATGACATTTTGGTTCCATGCTAATGATCTCTTTCATCCACATGATGTGTCTTTGTCTCATTTTAGACTTAATAAGTGCTCTCCTTAAGCTATATTTGATAGTGGGACCTCTTTTGTACCCTAAAACAAATACAAGTGATTGCTCTTCCATACTTGACTGAGGTGGTATTCTACTACTAAATGAAGAAAGGAGGAATAAGAATCAGGGACAATTAGAAGTCACTTTGAGGATGAAGGCGTGTCTGACCCAAGCCATGGTATTTCAGTCAACTCATATGCATGTGAAAACTGGACAATGAATACAGGAAGCCCAAGAAAATGTTTTTTGAATTGCCATGTTGGTTATGAATTGCCTTGTTGAATTGTCATTTTGAATTGTCATGTTGGTTAAAAATACTGAAAATATTATGGACTGTCAGAAGAACAAACAACTCTGACTTGGAAGAAGTACAGCCAGAATGCTTCTTAATAGCATAGCCAATGGTGGGCATGGTAAGAAAGACATCCTCTAGAGGACTTGGGACATGATAGCGGGATAGACCAGGGCTTGAAGAAGGACAGCATGTTTGGTAATACACAGGGTCATTGAAACAGTAAGACTTTCAAGCAGACATATTGAGACTGTGACTTCAGTGATGGGGTCAAGCATAATAACAATTGGTGAGGATAGTGTTTTGTTCTGTTGTTCATAGGTCACAAGATGACATGTAACAACAGCAATAGAAGATGATAAGATGGTTTCAAAGACTTTTGGTGAAGAATCTCATAAACATGCCTGTTTTCCATATTACAATTAATGCATATTTTATTATTTTTGTCTCTTGCAATTCTAGTCATTATCATTTCTTTTTGCTTGGTTTACTATGATCCATGAAGATAAGTTTGATCTTTAAATGAATTTTATTATGAGTTTATTTTAATTTAGCCTATGAAAACCGTCTCTTGAATTTTCCATTTACATAGATTTAGTCAATTGACTACAAGATTTAGTCAATTTTGACAGTTACCATGAGACTTTTCTTATCCTGAGTTTATTTATATGAATTATGAAACTTGCCTTTATGCTAATAGTTTCTATTTGACTGTATTTGGGTAAAATTTAAGCAAATATTTTAATGTCTTCCAAAACAAAACTCCAATGATGGTATGGAACTCAGGCCAGTATAAATACAAGTACCTTTGTATCACCCCTGGTCTGGGTGTTCAGAGACAAGAACTGGCGTTAACCACTGCAGTCATCCTTTATTTTGAGTAACGATCACTGATACATCATAATATACAATGTGATCTTGTGCACTTATCATTACATGGTAAATGCTTAACAAATATCAGTTATATAATTAAATTCAGCCACTTCAAATCCATAGAAATTGGAGGCCTTCAGCTATCAAAAGATATAGCCCCTGGGGGGTGGGATGTCTTAAAGGCTTGAAGATCAACAAGCAGCCATCTAGCTCAGAAGCAACAAAGCCCACATGGAAGAAGCACACCAGCCTCTGAGATCACGAGGTGTCGAAGGGATCAGGTATCAGCATCAAAGAACAAAATATCATATCATTGTGAATGAGGGTGAGTGCAGAGTGGAGACCCAAAGCCCAACTATAAGCAACTGGACATCCCCTTACAGAAGGGTCACTGGGAGGAGAGGAGCCAGTCAGGATGCAGGGTAGCAACGATGAAACATACAACTTTCCTCTAGATCTTAAATGCTTCCTCCCCCTCCACCACCACTATCATGATCCCAATTCTACCTTACAAATTTGGCTAGACCAGAGGATGTACACTGGTACAGACAGGAACTGGATACACAGGGAATCCAGGGTGGCTGACCCCTTCAGGACCAATGGTGAGAGTGGCAATACCTGGAGGGTGGAGGGAAGGTGGGGTAGGAAGGGGGAACTGATTACAAGGATCTACATATAATAACCTCCTCCCTGGGGGGATGGACAACAGAAAAGTGGGTGAAGGGAGATGTCAGACAGTGTAAATCATGACAAAATAATAATAATTTATAAATTATCAAGGGTTCGTGAGGGAAGGAGGAGGGGGAGGGAAGGGGGAAATGAGGAGCTGATATCAAGGGCTCAAGTAGAATGCAAAATTTTTGAGACTGATGATGGCAACAAATGTACAAATATGCTTGACATAATGGATGTATGTATGGATTGTGATAAGAATTGTATGAGCCTCCAATAAAATGATTTTAAAAAAATAGAAGAAGAAATTGGAGGCCTTTCGAACTAAAAGTAGGCTGATTTGGTATTATAAACTTTTTTCAGAAAAATAATTTTTTGATGATGTGAATAATAGCTTGTAAGACACAAATAAGTAATATACCAGTAAATACAGAAAAACAGATTTTAATACATTGAAAAATTTATCTTTTCTTTAAATGTTATTGAAATGATTCAGTTGATGCAGTGTCTGACATAATGCCATTTCAATAAGTGGTAGTCAAAGTTAATTACTGATTATGTTATTCCAGATGTCAGGGTACAAAGAAGATATAAGTTTTTCATCGATATATTGCAAAACAAACCATAACTTTTGAACAGTCATATTTTAATGGGGAACACATCCGTTTCACAATGTAGAGATGAAAGAAGAATTGGGGATACAACAATAATCTGACTAAGAATGCTTTTTTATACAAGTTTAACATGTATAAAAATCCAGTAATTACAGAGCATTACCCACACTTTTACTTGACTTATGGAAGACCTCACAGAGCTCAGCAAGGTTGTGTAGAACCTCCAAGCTAGCTGAAGGCAGGCCAGACGTCCTTAAGGGAGAGTAATTTATATTCAACTACCCGGAGTATTCTCATCCTTCTACCAGAAGATGATAGAAGCAGCATACAGTAATTGTCCCTGATTGATATATATAAAACCTTTCCCTAATTATTTGGAAATGCTAAAAAGGGAAGACCCTCAGCAAGATGGACTGACACAGTCACTGGAAGAGTAGATGCCTCAGAGCAAGCTTGTGAGAATGGGCCGGAACCGGGCGCTGTTTCATTCCATTGAACACAGGGTTGCTATGGGGCTGAACTGACTCCACGCACCTAACACCAACAACAACCCTTTTTGTCCCATCTAGAAAATCATTCTAATTTTCAGTTTTGTCCCCCCCCTCCCCCCAGTCCACTTTTTACCGTTAAGTCAGATAAATCCATATAATTTCAAGATTCCTTTTTGCTTAACTTCCCAAACCTTATTCAGACTGAATTTAAGTTGAGTAATTTTTTTACCTGAATCAAGACCATCATCACTCTTTAGCTTTTCCAGTTCTTCACTTTAATAGAATTTACTCATCTTAAATTCTTTTTCTATGTTAACTAAAACTGTCTGATGATTGCAGGATATTGAATGCAAATTTTAGAAGTTCAGTATGCCTCTTAAATACTAGAGATTCTAGAGGCAGGAAAGTTGTCAATTAAATTTTCATTTTTAACAACTGATAATTAAAGAGTTTACTTTAAATTTTATCTTCTATCATCTCCATCAACATAGATCTAAAGCTATGCAAGGTCATATGATATACATGCAGTAGTGGCAGAATCTTTAATTTTTGAAATCAATATGGAATATCTAAGGTCTATTTTTAAATTAAAAAATTTTTTCATGCTGATTTTCCCATAATTTTCCTTAATTTACCCAGAATGGATGAGAACATTCAGAACTGGCTCTCCCATATCCTCAGCTCCCCCCAAATGCTAGTATGGGTTTGATTTTGAGTTGTGACATTGCTGGAGTTTGGCATTTTTTTTATGTGTGATAGCTTATATTACTGGATGCACTGCAATTTTCCCAAATAAAATAAACTCATAACTCTGTCCTAATGCATTTATTTTCTGGAAATTAGGAAAACTGAATATTAGCTTGGTAAACATTTCGTTAGATTATTGGCAGATGACAAGGTTGCAATATTAGCACAAATGAGAAGTTAATTAAGGCTGACTTAATGAAAGCCCACTTAATGGGCATAGAAATAAGCAACGAATTAGGATTTGATTTAAGCAGAGTTCTCTCTGAGCAAAGTATTTGAAGATCATGGATAGGTGAACTAGAAAATACATACACTTGTCATGTGCCTCTGACCCTCTCCAACAAAACAGGGTTAACCCCTACATTTTAACGATTTCCCTGGAAGCAGGGTGCTGTTGAACATAAACCTTTGCCACCCACCTAATTGGTGTTTTTCAAAGAGCACAGTGAAGTATGATTCAAATAACAGGAATTAAAGGAACTCGAAAAGGTTTTTCCTTAATGTTGTGGGAGATGCTTTTTAAAATTCATTTTTGGCCACGTGCAATGGTATGGAACTCCAGTTTCTCTGGATTTTCTCCCTAAGCGCTTGTTTTCTAAGGTTTCCTAATTATAAACGCTATTCCTCCACCCCTCCCACCTCCCACCCCACCCCTGAAATTCACTTTGAGCAGAAGGCTGCGCTACATTGGTTCCAAGAGCCAACAACAAGCCAAGGCGACTCCAGCTTGGCCGCAGAGGGGCGAGGGTCCCGGGCTGGGGCTGGGTCCTGGGGGGCGGGGGGTGGGGTGGGCGGGGGACAGAGGGGGCGCGAGCAGAGAGACTGCAGTGACACTGCCCTCCCCGGGCTGGTTGAAGCATCTCACTGGTGACGGGTCTGAAAGCACGTGGCTACGTCATGGAAAGCCAGTCTTTTCAATGCAAACTTCAACTCCTCCTCCTCCTCCCTCTAATGCCTGTAACTCACGGTCGAGGCCGGGCTAGCAATCCGGAGGGGAGATTTTCCTCATGCTCCCGGTCGTTGGAACCTGGGAGAGTGCGAGGAAGAAGGAAGGGGCTCTGGGGCGCTCTCTACCTACTACGAGCCGAACAAGGGCAGGGGGCACCTCGATTGGCATCTTTTCTTCGTGGTGATTGAGAACTGCAGGCTCCATCCGATCCTGTTCATCCCTGGCGATTGATTATTTAAAAGGAAAAAAAAAATCAAAAAACCGACACTTGGAGGAGAGGCTCTGTCTTCGGCTGTCAGACTCAGTCTCCGAGGTGGTATTAGTGTGTGAGTGTGTGTGGTGGCTTTTTTTCCCTCCCCTCTTTTTTTTTCTTTTTCCTTCTTTTCTTCCTTTCTTTTTTCTCCCCCCCCACCCCCCTTTTTTTCCTTTTCTCCTTTTCTTCTCTCCTAGGGGCTCCACAATGGCAGTCTTCTCTCTGTGAGATGACTCCTGCTTGGCTTCCGCAGATCCACCCATTCTCATAGCGATCAAGTAAAGGGCTATGGTTTTCTCTTTGGGGATCTTTTGTGCATTCCTGTTCTCCCTGATTAGTTTTGGCCTCCGTTGGGATTTCTTCGCTTTCTGTGTTTGGCTTCGTGCTGAAAAAGGATTTTTTTCGCCCCCCGACCCTTCGGTAAGAATCCAGTGGTGATCAAGGGGGACTAAATCATTCACCCTGGCCGAAAAAAAACAATCACTGAGAAGTCTCAAAGAAATAGACCACGTGAGGGGAAAAAACTGGGAGAAGATCCGGAATATTATCGTTTTTCCTATGGTCAAACCGGTGCCCCTCTTCAGGAGAACTGATTTCAAATTTTTATTATGCAACCACAAGGATCTCTTCTTTCTCAGGGTGTCTAAGCTGCTGGATTGCTTTTCGCCCAAATCAATGTGGTTTCTTTGGAACATTTTCAGCAAAGGAACGCATATGCTGCAGTGTCTTTGTGGCAAGAGTCTTAAGAAAAACAAGAACCCAACTGGTAAGCAAAACATGTATCATGTTCTGTTTTTCCTCATCCTAACCTGTCTGTTGCTCACTGAGCTAGATCTGCAGTTCGGCTATGCAGGAGGCAGGGCAATCATAAAAGGAACCAGGACAGTGTTGCATATAGAGGTGTTGCATGAATAAACAAGGAACAGCTGGATCAGCGTCTGTGAACCTGAAAACCATTATCAGCATCACTTGGCGGTGACACAATCCATCATTTGGAGGGAGGAGGAAACTTTTTTTTTTTTTTTTAACTGTATCGGGTTGCCTACGTTTGCTGGAATATTCAAAGGCTCTGGCTTAAGGTTTCTGCCCATGGCAGATGAATCTCTGCTAGTGGCCAGGAAGAAGAACGGGGAGTTTTCCTGACTTCTGTTGCAGGTTCTGGAGGCAGAGCTGGGTACCGAGAACCTGCTTCAGACTTTCTGATTAGCTTGCACAATATTCGCCACCCCGTCACCTTACCAAAGTAAAAGAGGGCCCCCTCCCTCGTGTCCCAGCTCCTCCGTCAGCCCCCGCCTCCCTCCCCCGTCTAGCTCTCGGTGCCCAAGTATTAACTCATTCCCTCTGTCTACCTCTGACACATCCTGCCACCGGGCATAGGGTTGATGTCTGGAGGGAAACCCGGACCCCAGAGAGAAGCCCAGCTCCTCTACTAGATATCATTTAGGGTCGCTTTTTAAAAAAGGAGTATCAAGACCCTGCGTCCGAGTCCCACGGGTGGGATGACCAGGGCCCGTGAGTCCTTGCTTTAGGGTGCGGGTGATCAGGCGCCCCGATTCCAGAGGGCTCCAATGGGCAAACTTGCAGTACATTATATAAGAAATGCAAATGCAGGTGATTCTGGGAGTGGAATCTCACGGGTTTACTTTCTGGTGTCTTAGTCTGAAGCTTTTGGGGACCAGCCTCGTAGCCAGGGGGAGGGGCGGGGGGAGGGCAGGCTGGGGGACTGCGCGGTGGTGGTGGCGCCAGTGGCGGCGCGGGGCGAGGAGGCTGGGCGCAGCCTTTCCTGGAGCTTGCCCACGGGGGCAGCTGGCGGCGCCGGGTGGCCCCCAGCTGCGTCCGGGCTGGGGAGGGACCCAGGGCCCAGTGTTTGGGTTTGCACTGCGGGGAGGGGCGGTCGCTCGGCCCCCCTGCAGTGGCAGCTGGAGCGCGGGAGAGTCCTGACGCTGGCACTGCGGTGTAGTAGATCACAGCTCTCCGCCGCCGCCACCCTGGCACCCAGAGCCCGGGTGACCCGGCAGCAAGTGGCTGCTGCCTTCCATCCTCCGGATCTCGCCAAGACGTCGTGGCTCGGGCGGGTGCGGGGGCGCAGGGAGGGAGGCAGAGGGGGAGTGTCGGTGGGCGGGGACGGAGGCGGCGGGTGGAGGCGGAGCACCCTTGGCACCCTTGGCGGCCGCCGCTTCTGCAGCAAAGGGGAAGCTGGGGAGATGCTGGACCGCTGAAAAGGACAGAAACTTGCGGGGTCCGGCAGAGAACGAACGTCTGGCTGTGGCCTCGGAGCTGGCACTTTGGGCTGACTCTAGAGGCTTCTTTCTGGAAGTAGCCTTGGGCTGTCCAGGGCTCCGTGCTGTCGTGGGCTCTTTGCCTCTCTCCTGAAATGTCATTTCTAGCTTTCTTCTCCATCCCCTTTCTGACCACCCTCCTCTGCTCCTCTCTCCTCCACAGTCCTCTTACCCTTCTCTCCCTGTAAGTTCTCAGCATATAGCAACTCTGAAACCACACCACCATCCTAAGAGTTACCCAAGGAGAAAGCAATGTTATCTGGGACCTTCGCATTGCTGATTTAGGTCTCAGGTGCACGCCAACACCTGGCAGCACACCTAACACCTGCTTGTGAAGTGGTTATGAACACCCATTGTACACCCACAACACGATCGTACAGCTTAATGTGAAGACCCTTTCTGCAAGGCGTCCCAAGGTGGGACCAGCAGCTGCAGTTGGAAAGGAGGAGTTACTCCTTCACAGGACAGACATATTGGATTTTGAAGTCTTCTTGAGTCTTTCTGTTAAGAAACCTAGCTTATTCCGAGAAAGAAATGCTGCAAAAACGGTTTTAGAAGACTCGGCCACTTGTCTGGGGCCTTTAAGGTCAATCCTTGCATAGCCCTGGGGATCAGGGAATAACTAGTACAGAATAGTAAGTTTCTTTGCTGGTCCCTGTACTTTTCTTTCTTTCTTACCTTTTTCCTTTCCTTCTTTATATCCTCCCTGTCTTCCTTTCTGTTTTGATATATAGTTTTATTGAAAAAATTAGTTTCCCCTACAGAGGATTCAGAATCTTTTTATCATATCTCTCCCCCTTTCATCTATCTGGGGGGAAAAAATAGATGTATTTTTTTTCCTTCTAAAACATTTTGAAAGGTGTCAGATTAGTCCCAGAGCAATTTATTTCGCAGTCTATGGATGTTAAAGCACTTGCGTGTGAATTGATATGTTAATACAAGGTGTGTCCAGCGACGTCCACTATTTTTAATAGGACAGTTCAGTCTCAGATCACCAGAGATTCGAATTCCAATATGGGAGTTGGGCATTTAGTAAATATTTCTTATAAATGTGTCCTGAAACTTATTTCACCTTCTTAAAGGTTTTGCCTCTCAAGCTTGAATCAAATGCATGCTTGCCCCTTCAGATTCATCCTCCTTCTGCTATTAACATAAAGCCAAAACTCATTTGCAGGTTTTTGATCCCAAGATAGCTGTACAACTAAGATTATAATTGGGTGATTAAAATAAAACAAAGACTAAACGACTCTTAACTGTTACAACCAAAATGAACAGATTGATTACTACCTATTAAGTTATCCTAAATCTAAAAAGGGGACAATTAACTGGTTTCAAATGAAGCTTGGTAGAATACTGCCAAGTACCAGGACTAAATGCCATCATTGACTGCGAAGCATCTCTTATTGCTTCCGAGACAAATACTAGGTTGAGTTTCCCCTGTATTTGAAAGTTATGGAATAATTTCCCAGTTCTTTGCAATTCTTTAAGTTGTCCATGTGTATTAGTAGTTAGGACAAGGATTCTTGGGATGAACTTGAGAGCACTTCTGTATAATCAGGTTGCTATGAGAACACTCAGATAACAGAGTTGTGAATTTTAGGGCAAATTTATTCATCTATCTAAAACATATTACTTAGCTTGAAACGATTTAAATAAACTGAGCCCATGCCACAGAGTCTATTCTAACTCTTTGCGACCCTATGGGGCATTGTAGACCTGCCCCTATGGTTTCTGACTCTGTACATCTTTGCAAGAGCAGAAAGCCTCTCTTTTCTTTAGAGGAATGCTGGTGGGTTCCAATTGGTGATCTTGCTGTTAGGGGCCCATCTCATTACCAACTACATCACAAGGGTTCCTTAATTACTTAAATAAGAGGTATTCATCAGATAGGTGTTTTGCTTTTGTATTTCGATTATTTGTAATTTATCTGAAAAAGAACTTGATAATATATTTGTATAGTGTATGCTTTTAAATGTAAATTGCCAGAGCTTAAAAATCACAAGATATTAAGTAACTTACTATCTTTATAAAAACCTCTGAGTTCTTACAGTTACAATTACCAGAGAACACACACACACACACACACACACACACATGTCCTACTTTCCCCTGCTTTGCTATCAGAGCAACAGCTATCTACTTAGAATAAATGTTACCTGCTTCACATTTTATTGAGTCATGCAAGGTGAGTGTTTTGGACAAATCATTAAATAGGGAATACTAAGTTAAGAGACTTATTTTGCCAGGAGGAGGGTTAGGAAGGCTTGTTCAAAGTAGTAATGATAGTTTGGATTGACCACAAGTTGGTTTGGGAACTGATCTAGATCACTGAACTTTCAGCAAAGGGTGCCAGAGAAAGAAATGTGGCTGAAAATGAGTTCACAACAAGGACAGATACGTAGGGCTTGCCTCCTCCGATACATAATATAAAATAAGCAAAAGAAGTCACTGATTCTCAGCTATATACCATTACTTAACCACATACAATACCCCCACACTCCATGGCTTGACAGGATTTTGAAAAGCCTGAGTTTTAATACAAGTTGTAATCTAAGAGAATTTTATTCAGTAATGGTGTCAGTGGCAAGGGTAGATGCCCTAGACCTAGTTCTAAAGGCACATTTAGAAAGTTCCACAAGCTCACTGACCTGACTATGTCATTTACTGAACTCAGTCTCCCTGTCTGCCCCGGAACAAGCAGTAGAGCCCACGATCACATTCTAGTCCTTACTTGCTTTGGTGCTTTTCAACTAGACTGTTGCCTTTCAGGAGGCTGTTTTCTGTGTCAAAACGACTAGGTATATCACTCTTAATCATTAAAATATGATACTTTTGTTTTTGGCAACTTTGTATCGAGGCTGTTGTGATTTATTTTTCTATTAGGCGAGAGAATAGGGGAAGCGGAAAGAAAAAAAAAAAGAATAAGCTTTTAAAAATTTCCTTTTCATTCTCCGCCAGCTGAGGACTCCTGCTGGCTTTTCCCGTAGAGCTGGGTGAGCCACAACATGGCCCACCAGCTCTGCCTCTGCAAACACTGAGTACCCCTGCAGTACAGACTTCAAATTCAGACTCATGGCCGGAGGGTCACACAGGTGTAAGGTTCTCCACCTCCTAACAGGCTTGGCTTGAGGGTGGGGTGCAATGTAATAGGAGATGGCCATGGACCCCATCCAGGAAGCTTTACTAACTGAAGCAGCCCAAGGCCATGTCATGAACGACAAGATTGCATTTGGGACTGGATTTGGGAAGAATTCATTCTCCCTTTTGGAAATGTCTGTTCACGGTAACAATTGTGGGATTCAATGCATGACCATCTAAATGCTGTTTTAACCATGGATGAACACCTACCCAGCCTGGTCTCATCTCAGACAACAACAATAACTAAGATATTCTTTCCAATAATGCACTGCCTCCAGAAAACGTTAAGCTTATTCTATACTTTACTTCATATTTTCCACACTGAACCATTGCTTTAAAAACGTTCAAA